TACTTAATTTCGATGCCATTGTTCTGGGCAACTGGTGTTTATATGTTTAGGAACAGGAGAGACATAAAATAATTAAAATACTGATTTTTTTCTCAACAAGAAAGAGAAGTCTAACCCACAACAGAAATCTTTCTCTATATTTTCACCAAAATGAAAAATCGACTCCTCTCTTTTCATTGACAATATTGTATCTGCCAAGCAAAAGTCAAGTGAACAAATAATAGCTTCTTGAAACTTAAGGTCTTAACATATAAGGGCTTGGCTTTCAGTTAATAAAAATAGGCCCTCACAATAGTACTTGACTGCACCCTCCTAGACTAATCCACCTCAGAAACTGCTGAAAGATGGTAACTGGGGTGAGTGGGAATTGAGCATGGCTGTCTGGGGCCAGACCTCATCCCTGTCATTTTGCAAGACAGGAGATGGTGCATTCTTACAAATTTATTTGGAACATTTTGCCTGCTCCCCATAAACTTACTTTTGGCTCATTTACACTTGCCCACTAGTAGCATAGTTATCCCTCAAGTACAAAATATACAAAGATTTATGTGAAGGTTTGCCACAGAAAGATAAAGGAAAAAAAAAATACAAAAAGACCCCAAAACCAAAAAACAAGATAACATGGAAAAGGGAAAAAAGCATATTTTCTTCCATTGCTACATATATCCCATGCTAATGCTTTTTTCCAAAGACCACTTTCAGGCTTATCAAAATGGGATAAAGATGGTTTTATCAGTCTGCTACTGTTTCCTCAGCGATTCTCTGACCTTGGGCAGGTAATTTATCTGGTCTGTGTATCAGTTTTGCCTTCTACAGAAAGAGGGAATTGAATTTTACGTTATAGGGACATGCTGTGAAGCTGCAGAGTTTTAAGGCTGACAGGAGCAGACCTAATAAAAGGAGAAGATACAAGTCCCTGTGGAAGATACAGCTCTTAGGTGCATTTCTCAGGATTTCGCCCTTACAGTGCATCCTACAAACAAGACCAGAAGGATTTAATTAAAAAAAAAAAAAAAAAAAAGTCTTACTAAAAATTACACATGAGGTTTTAAGCTACCTCCCAAAGTCATAAAATTAGATTTAAAACTTCTAAATTATGAGAGCTTTCCTATCCAAGCACTACACTGTAGCTCAAATGGAGCAGAACTATAGAAGCATTTATAACCAACTGCCTTCCTGCCAACTACTCCTTTGCAGGCTGAGCTCACCTTCCAGGTAACAGCTGCAGCGAACATGATGATTTTTTAAGTTGCAACAAACTCTGCTCAGGAATGTCCCTGTGGTATCAGCCCCATGCTGCATCTGTGCCATCATCCCAGTAGAGCAGCAGACCCTGCCCAATACGTAGCATCCCGGACCACTCGCATCCTGCAGGAATAATAACTGACACTGTCAGCACAGAAATTACCAACTTGCCAGGCTGGTCAGCTCATTGGTGGACAAGGGAAAATCTATGCAGTCTCAATAGGAGTGGAGAGGGACAGGAAATACGATTCAGAGAGAACCTTCCTCACTGGCAGATGCTGTTCTGCGCTCGAATCTCCACAGGAGTATGTGTGTATGCCCACAGCCCCACTTTGCAGCCACAGAGACAAAAATGTCTGGAATGCGTGTCAAACCTCTGCCCTCCTCCGTGGTTTTCTGGAGGAATTTTTTGATGGGTATTTTGGGGCTTGGCTTTTTTTTTTTTTAATGATAAAAGTCTAAAATGGCTAAACATTGTCTTTGTTTTTTCTCTAAGCACAAATGCTACTTCTGAAAAAAATACAGTTTAAAAGCATGAGAACCTCAAGATGGGTCCTGCAGGAATGAGGCACATTGCCTGACAAGGGGACAGGGCAGTGAAGGGTGGCTGCACACCAAATTGCATGTGGCTAGGATACAAAGCAGTTAGTGAGACTATACTGCTTTCTTGCTGCAGCTAATACAGCTAAGATTCCCTGAAGTGCGCACTGATAACTGCCCTTATGATGTGCAGAATCATAAATCCATGCTAGTTTCTGTTCCCGCCATCTCACTCCTCTTGGCTCTCTGGGTGACCAAGTAGTCCCTCTGAAACACTTTGTCCCAGAACATGCATTTATGGCAGTTCCTTGAACAGCACTGCTTGCCAGTTATTAGATTTGCTAATTAGGCCTTTTGGCTACTTGATATACCAGAAAAAAATCACATTTTTCTACTCTTTTTCTCCTACATTTGAGTTGTTGTGTTTACTCAAGATGAAAGCCAGATGTTGTATTAATAAGAGAAGTGCCTTTCCTAAAGGGAAACATTCATCAGTGCAGAAGCAGACATTGTAGCTTTGCTGTGAATTATTTAAATTCCTTCCCTTTTTTTAAACTTCTGAACAGGAAATCCAAGAAGATGTATTTGAAAGCAATAGCATTGTGACTGCAGAATAAAAGCCATTTACCCTAATCCTTTTAAAAGCTGGTAATAGGGATTTAAATGTACTGAAGTCTAAACATGTTTAAATTTGAAGTAGAGACAAACATAAACCCAAAATATTTGGGAGAAAAGAAGAATGTTTGGATAATTTACATAGCAAATACTTTTCAAATGCAACACAGATGATTACTATCTAGCTAGACTTTTTTTTTTTTTTAATGCCTAGTGTCAGTGATTTTCCTATTCCTCCCTTCTTCTCCCAAAACCCAGGGCCCTAGCACAAATGAATCTAAATGGCATTTTACTTTATAGCGAAAGAAAAGCATCCTACAAAATAGCTGCTCTGGTATTGTGCTGGACAGGTATACTATGATTATTTTGACCTAGGAACAAGTATTCATGCAAAGATAAACTTCCCCATCGGTACAGCCCAGTCAGGTGCTTGGGGGCTCAGAGAGGTATTTATTACCTGGGTTTGGTGCTTGTGGAGCTGTGCTGGGTCCAGCAGTGGGGGTAAAATGTGTTCAGTGTCTGTTTGTTTTTCTTCCTCTCCTCTTATTTCTTTTTGCAGTGGCATTAGTAAAACCTTTAGGAAGAAAAGTTCAGGAAAAAATATGCAGTGTTATCTCAATATGAGAGTTTAATAAAAAAACTTTTCATGGAAAAAAAGACTTTATAACTGACACCCACAATATTTCCCCATGAGTGGGGGCAGGAGCAGCCTCACACATTGCCCCTCCGCTTGCCCCTGCTGTCATGGGTACACTGTTCACACTCATTTGCCTGCATCCTTTCCAAGCATGGCTTAAGAATTTAACTTTAGGAGTATAACTTTTTAAGCCTCTCACACATCCAAATTAATACTTTGAAACTTTCCCTCCCATTTATAGAGTATAATCTTTAATATTTAAATAAATAACACACATATGAGAGATTTCTAGTATCATATTTTCATTAAAAAGTCATATTCCTGATAACTCATAAGGTTTTGGAAAACTTGCTAAAGCTGTAATGAAATTACCTATTTGTATAGAATTTTACAATGTTATTGTTAAATATTTCCATTATGACATTGCTGAAATATTTTTAGAATCAATATAATCTGTTGTAATATAAAAGAGAATACTAGCATAGCTGTTTTACAAAATATGTTCCAGTTGAATGAGCTAATTAGCTTTTAATAATGAAACCCAGCCAATGGATTTCCAAAGCAAGCTACTGAAGCTTAATGATTTCAAAAGCTATCACATCTACAAGCCAATGTAGCATAAATTATTCATGAGCATCTTATAAATAAGTGTAATAAGTTATTTCCAGGGCTAGTTTTGCCCTAAAATTAGGTTCTTCTGAAAAGTGCCTTTAGAAACAGAGCCTTCTGTGATCCCATATTTACTGTGTTTTTTGTTATTTTCACATGAAAATGTAGAAGTTTGGAAGTAGAAGGTCATTTACCAGCTCACATTTCATAGAATCATAGAATAGTTAGGGTTGGAAAGGGCCTTAAAATCATCTAGTTCAAACCCCCTGCATGGGCAGGGACACCTCACACTAAACCATGTCACCCAAGGCTCTGTCCAACCTGGCCTTGAGCATCACCAGGGATTTTCCTTCAGTCCACATCCCTGCTAAGCCCTGACAATCCCCATGGTTTAGGAGCAAGCAGATGCATCAAAGACTCTCAGTGCAATGTTCAATACTTCTGATTCCCTCTCTTAATGGCATATATTTGGGGCTGGCAAAACTGGAAAGTTTCTTCTCTACCAGCAGCAATGTTTTCTTTGCCTTAGCAGCATTGAAACATGACATACATCATGGCATGCAGAATTGAAATGAGCCATTTACAACAGCATGTTGTTATCTCATACCATGTATAGTCCTTGCCCTTCAGCCTTCCCACAGTTCCACCTATACAGAAACCAATTCCAGGGCAACCAACCATCGAACCTAGGAGAGCCTCACAGAGGCATCAGTAATGCCCTTCCACTTTGCTACCCATCCCTTTCTTTCATGGGCAGGTTCTGGCTCATTCAGCAGATTGAAATACCCTCACCTGGGTGCAAAGCACCTGTGAAAAGTCAGTAAATATTATGAACTGAACAAAATCTTTATAGCCCAGGCTCTGTCAGTCTCTCCCTGGAAGAATGACAGAGTTTCAGTAGCAAAAGGCAAATCAAGCTTTCAAAATGTAAAACAATTGGGGTAGGAGCTGGCTCAGGAGAAATCCTACAGGTAATAGACAGTTTTGAACCTAAAGAAGAAACACTAATTTAGATGGAAGGGACACATAGGGTAGGAGGAGGGAAGGATTGGCTTGGGTTTAAGGTATTTATGTTTCTATATAGCCTTGCTAACATTGCAACTCTTGACCTGTCTCAAGGGATTCCAGCTGTCAACAGAAATAGGACTTTGGCAGTGCTGTGGTTTAAGCCTGCAGATGTTCAGGTTAGGGCTTCAGTTTGTATCACCTGTGGGTGCTTTTCTGCAGTGCTCAGAATAGCTAAACTGGTTCATCGAGAAATTGCTATAATTTGGGTAATATCTGAAAGTCAAATCTTACAGTGTAGAATCACCTCTGTCAAACATTGCTTTGCAAAGAAGTGTTCTAGCAGAGATTTGTTTCATTTTATATACAGTACATAAATCTACAAGTCCTAATTCTAGCTTAAGACCAACAAATAAACACTCGACAAGATTAAGGCAGGATTGTTTTCCCCATTTGACTGTCTGCCTGAGTTACATCTTGGCAAAGTTACTGGTAATTGGTTTTCTTACGGATGGTATTCTAGACATTTTCTCCATTTTGTTATTTTGCTTACCAATATGGAATCTTAGATGATTAAGAAACATCAATACTTGCAGAACCGCAGACTTTCAGAAGAAGAAGAAAACCCACATTCCTCTTCTCTGTCAATATTTAAGATTGTTTTGATTTTGTTAAGTTTGCTGGGGTTTTGAAATCACAGCAAGTTCTCTTCAGGCCTCAATAAGGAACTATGTGGTCCTCCTTGTATTTCTGATTTGAATAATTAGATACAAATGGTATTTTTAAAGAACAGGAGAAACAGTTAATTTCACAATTGCTTAATGAGAGCCAGAGAGTATATAGTATTTTCTCTCAAAAAAAGTAACTTGGCAAGATTTATTTATATTATCAGGAAACGGGATGGGGGAAAGACACTTGATGAACCATGTTTCTCTTACTCACTTGGAGTTACATGAAAAAGCTGTTCAGTACAAATTTGACCGAACAGATGCTCATTAGATGCATTGATCTCAGTCTTAAAGATTACAAGTGCTTCATTATGAATGTTCATTTGCACAACAGCAGAAGACAAGCTTGAATCAGAGGATTTCTATCAAAATGTGCCATCTACAGTAGAGATTTTCTTCCTGGGGGTCACCTCAGGAACATGGAGTCGTTACTCAAGAGACACTTTTTATTACCACCAGGTAATAAAAACCAGCTTCCCATACCCCATCAAGCTGCATTTTAGCCCTGATTTCTTTCAACCATAAGTAGGTAGCAATCATGGCAATCTGTGACAGAAAGACAAATCCATAGACATAAATACCTACATGTGCATGACTTGCATGAGCACAGACACACTACAAACATACATAATATTATAAAAGTCAAAATCTCTTCTGATAGAGAAAGGAAATAAAAACAAAAATCATCCCACTATTAATTAGGAAATTAATACTACATTTTTAACAGGGGAAAAAAAAGACACATGAATTTGTGAGGTGAAGTCTTCCACTTGGGAATCTGCCCTATGTTCACATCAAAGTTTCTCATGCAAGAAGTTAAAATCCAGCTTTGCATGGTTCTGGTTTTCTGAGCTGTGTTTTTTTCCCCTCCTTCAATTATTAATTTATTAAACATCTTTAAACCACCCAAGTTTGCCAAGCAGTTCCATCAAGATCTATCCATCAATGAGCCCATGAGTTTTCAGTCAAGTGAAGAATGAATGAACAATGGCAGCAGGGCATTCAGCTAGAAGAAACCAGGTGGTCCTTGATACAATATTTTTAAGTTGTGCATCATTATGTTGCATTCTTGAGCTTGGTGTGACTTCCTGGGAGCAATGCCAAGGTCAGGCAAACCATTATTTATGATTAATGGTGTTTTGAAGGTGTACACTCTTAAATGTTTTGTCCTTGTTTCTTTTGAACTAGTCTTTGTCTTTTGGTTTTGACTGCAAGCTTTTTAGAACTAGGATCATTGTTTTCAGAGCTTGGAAAACAGACAGAGACTTGACAGATCAGCCTTTGTGCCTGCACTCATCAGGAGACAAATGATGGCTTCACAAAAATGTAAAATAGTGGGGGTTTTTTTGTCCCCAAGAACAGTTTTGTAGTTCTCAAGCTGTGACCCACCATAAAGTCTCATTCACTGGTACAGCACAACTCAACTCCTAATTCCCTTCTGTTGTTCCTCAGCTGTTGCTTTTCAGATTAAACTCTCAGCTGTTTCAGTGGCTCCTGGTGCCTTCTCCTCACTACAGGCACAACCTTGCCAAAGAGAGCCCAAGTCCACCTTCCAACCCCTTTCCAGACCTCCCTTACCTGCCTCAGCCTCCACTGCAGTCTGCTTGGTCACCTCTGGCAGATAGACCTGGTACCTGAGAACAGTCTCCATCTTCCCACTGCAGGTTCAGGGCATGTCCTCATTTTGCAAATTTCTGCTGTACAATATATGTAAGATGTAATTTTCCTATGTATTCAGTGATAAACCAACCAACCAACCAACCAAAAAAAAAACCACCCAAAAAACAAACAAACAAAAAAAAAACCAAAGAAAACCTTCACCAAAAATACATTTCCCATCTTATACAATTTTGCCTCAACAAACTCGATCTTGTTGCTTATCCCCTTTCAGAAACCTTTTGTAGACTGCTGCATGTCATCCACTCCCCTCCTCCTCCCAGGGCAAAACCTAGTCACCTCCAACTGCCTCATCATTCACCTATTCTCAGCTCCAGGCAGACACATTGCAGCTTCACAGACAGAAACCTGTGATTCTTCCCTATTCAGCTCTTTTGCTTTGACTCAACCTCTTGCAACAGGTATTTTCAGCCCTTTTGGGCTGAGAGTCTTCCTGGGTGCCTGCACTATTACCTATTCACTGTATGCACTCTAAGCATCCCAAACCATCAACAGACAAATCAGACTAATTTCCTGCAACCAGAGAAATGAGCTTTGCTGTAAAACCAAAAAAGGTGACAATCTCTTTCTGGAACACAATTTAAGGAACATGCAGAACAGGGAAACACACCAAGTGAATATGCTTGGGTATAATTTCCCTAATGTATCTGTTCAAAGGTATGTTCTGTTGATAACATGTTTTCCTTATAACAAGAGCTACTTGAAAAATGTTTTTCGCCTTGTGCTTCTTCCTAAACATCCTCAACAGTTGACCATTTTGCAATTATTTTGTTATCTCCTGCATTTGTAGTACATTAAGTTGTTTATCCACTGGGAATTGGAGATGATTATCAGTTTATTACTTTAAATTTATATTTTGATATGATAATTTACCATCTAGATATTACCAGTAAGAACAGGAGAAGGCAGCCTTAACACACTGGCTGTAATTGGATGAAGGACTTGTGGCTTTCCTTGTATCCTTGTCCTTCAACCATTGATTTGGCCATGCAGGGGCTTCACCTAACCCCTCCACGTGGCACAGGAGGAGAAGCTGATCATTCCAAAACATTATTTCTAATGTCAGAATGTCTAAACAGTGATTACAGCCTATATGGGAAGTAATGGCTGTAAAGGACTTGTTTACAGCCCTGAATGCCCACTTCCCTTGAAATTTATTAAGTAGTTAAATGGCACAAAAGGTAGTCAGAGTTTGCCTTTCATATCCTGTTGTAATTCAGTTGTAACTCCACTAAAAAGGTTGTCAGCAACTTTTGGTAGTTCATAGTATTTATTTGTTTATTTATTCGTTTGTTTATTTATTAAAAAGCTAATGATTTATAGGCCTCCCTGCTAGAAACGTGTATCAGAACTGTAGCTGAGCAGATGAGTAGCACCAAGGATTTCTATTTGCACAGCCTTTAAGAAAACAGCCATGCTTATTTCTTCAGGCAACATGAGCAATATTCAGACATTCATCTGAACAAAAAATCAGTCCATGCTGAAGGTCCCAGTGATACGCAGATAGACTCCACAACTCGTTAAAGTTGTAAAGTAGGTATGCTTTTATTCAGCTCTGAGGCTCATGGGGGATAGCTCCTCCAAAGGCATGCGTGGCTCAGTGTTGTTTCCCTCTACATTTATTCTCTAAAGTTATACATATTCATACGCTTGCACAATACGCTTATACATATTCATGTCCTATCCCCGCTTCGTATTATAATGAGCTAGAAAGTCCTTTGTGCCTGTGCAGTGGTCATGGGCAAGGGTTTCAAGATGAAGTAAATGAGTCTTCCTCTTGTGAGTAGGGGTCTTCAAGATGAAGTAAATGAGTCTTCCTCGAGCCTGAACTTTTCACTTCTAGCTGTCACTCATGTTCTTTAGGAGTCTGGTCAAAGTCCAAACCACAAAGCTGGTCTTCACTGGAACTAACTGTTCCTTCCCCTTATCAATCTGTTTCTTCCCCTTATCAATAGCCTATTGTCCTGGTACTGCATGGCAAGCTCGACAGGTATTTGCAAACAATGCTTTCTGTTAAACAGCAAAATTCCTTTATCCCCCCTTGTTTGACCCCCTTGTACAACCCCCTTGTACGACCTCCCTGTACATTGGTCAACCCTCTGCATCACCAGCACCGTATTAGGAAGAAATGAAGTATGTGGCATCCCTCCTCACAGCCCAACCCTGAAAGCCCCTGGCTTTGGGCTCAACCTCACATTGAATCTGAACTGCTGCCAGAGGGAAGCCAGGCCCAAGGTAGCACTGGGGTTACAGGGTGAGCTTTCTGGATTCAGACTAAAATAATTAAGGTCTCTTGTCAGCGGCATGTACACATGTCACTGTCACCAAAGCCAAATTCCTATAGTTTTATAGTCCCCAAAATAGGCTATTGGACTGAGCAGTCAACAGAGAGTTTGTGGGTCAGGGTTAAAAGGAATATAGCTATGGGAGACATTACTGTGGGGATCTGTTACAGACCGCCTGATCAAGGAGAACCTGCGGATGAAGCACTCCATAGGCAGACAGGAAAAGCCTCATGCTCGCAGGCCCTTGTTCTCATGGGTGACTTCAAGCACCCTGACATCTGTTGGAAGGACGGTAGGGCGCGGCACAAGCAATCCAAGAGGTTCCTCCATTGTGTGGAAGACAACTTCCTTCTGCAAGTAATAGAGGAGCCGACAAGGAGAGGTGCCGTGCTTGACCTTGACAGGGGAGGGCTCGTTGGAAATGTGATGCTCCAGGGCACCCTTGGATGCAGGGATCACGAGATGCTCAAATTTGAGATCCTCAGGACAGTGAGAAGAGCGTGCAGCAAGCTCACTGCCCTGGACTTCAAAAGAGCAGACTTTGGCCTCTTCAGGAACCTGCTTCAGAAGGTTCCATGGGATACAGCCCTAGAGGGCAGGGGGGCCCAAGACTCTTGGTTGATATTCAAGGATCACCTGCTGCAAGCTCAGGAGTGTTGCATCCCAACCAGCAGGAAGTGCAGCAGGAGGGCCAGGAGACCTCCTTGGGTGGATAAGGAGCTCCTGAGGAAAATTCAAATGAAAAAAGAGGCTTATAGTAAGTGGAAGCAAGGACAGGTGGCCTGGGAAGAGTACAGGGATGTTGTCTGGGAAGCCAGGGACCAGGTTAGGAAAGCTACGGCCCAGTTAGAATTAAACTTGGCTAGGGGTATTAAGGATAACAGGAAGGGATTCTGCAGGTACATAGCAAATAAAAAACAGACTAGGGAGAATGTAGGCCCCCTCAGGAAGCTCTTGGGAGAACTGGCTACACAGGATTCGGAGAAGGCTGAGGTTCTGAATGACTTCTTTGCCTCAGTCTTCACTGCCAAAGGCTCTCACCAAACCACCCAAGTCTTGGAAGGCAGATGCAGGGACTGTGAGAATGAAGACCTTGGGCTCACTGTAGGAGAGGAACTGGTTTGAGACCATCTTAAAAACCTGAACGTGCACAAGTCCATGGGACCTGATGAAATCCATCCGTGGGTCCTGAAGGAGCTGGCAAATGAAGTTGGGAAGCCACTGGCCATCATATTTGAGAAATCATGGCAGTCAGGTGAAGTTCCCAATGACTGGAAAAAAGAAAATATAACCCCCATTTTCAAGAAGGGGAAAATGGATGACCCAGGGAATTACAGACCAGTCAGTCTCACCTCTGTGCCTGGCAAAATCTTGGAGCAGATTCTCCTGGAAGGCATGCTAAGGCACATGAAAATCAACAAGGCGCTTGGTGACAGCCAGCATGGCTTCACTAAGGGGAAATCCTGCCTCACCAATTTAATGGCCTTCTATGATGGGGCTACAGAACTGATGAATGGTGTAGAGCAGTTGACATCATCCACCTGGACTTGTGTAAAGCGTTCGACACTGTCCCACACGACATCCTTGTCTCTAAATTGGAGAGACATCAATTTGATGGATGGACCACTCGGTGGATAAAGAACTGGCTGGATGGCCGCACACAAAGAGTTGTGGTCAACGGCTCAATGTCCAGCTGGAGACCAGCAACGAGTGGTGTCCCTCAGGGATCGGTGTTGGGACCGGTCTTGTTCAACATCTTCGTCACTGACAAGGACAGTGGGATTGAGTGTGCCCTCAGCAAGTTTGCCGATGACACCAAGCTGTGTGGTTTGGTTGATACTCTGGAGGGAAGGAATGCCATCCAGAGAGACCTTGACACGCTTGTGAGGTGGGCTGATGCCAACCTCATGAAGTTTAACCATGCCAAGTGCAAGGTCCTATACCTGAGTCGGAGCAATCCCAGGCACAGCTGCAGGTTGGGCAGAGAAGAGATTCAGAGCAGCCCTGCGGAGAAGGACTTGGTGGTGTTGGTTGATGAGAAAATGAACATGAGCAGTCAGTGTGTGCTTGCAGCCCAGAAAGCCAACCATATCCTGGGCTGCATCAAAAGGAGCGTGACCAGCAGCTCGAAGGAGGTGATCCTGCCCCTTTACTCTGCTCTTGTGAGACCTCACCTGGAGTATTGTGTGCAGTTCTGGTGTCCTCAACATAAAAAGGACATGGAACTCTTGGAACAAGTCCAGAGGAGGGCCATGAGGATGATCAGGGGACTGGAGCACCTGCTGTATGAAGACAGGCTGAGAAAGTTGGGGCTGTTCAGCCTGGAGAAGAGAAGGCTGCGTGGAGACCTCATAGCAGCCTTCCAATATCTGAAGGGGGCCTATAGGGATGCTGGAGAGGGACTCTTCATTAGGGACTGTAGTTACAGGACAAGGGGTAACAGGTTCAAACTTAAACAGGGGAAGTTTAAATTGGATATAAGGAGGAAATTCTTTCCTGTTAGGGTGATGAGGCACTGCAATAGGTTCCCCAGGGAGGTTGTGAATGCTCCATCCCTGGCAGTGCTCAAGACCAGGCTGGACGAGGCCTTGGGTGATATGGTTTAGTGTGAGGTGTCCCTTTCCATGGCAGGGGGGTTGGAACTAGATGATCTTAAGGTCTTTTCCAACCCTAACTATTCTATGATTCTATGACTGCACCTGAGGCAACATTTCTACAACCCTTCAGCAACATTG